GTTTTTTGGTTTTTTTTTTAAGTGGCTTATTATCATACACATTTATATGTTAATCATGGCAGGGTTACTGCTGACAGTTGTAGAAGTTCTGATTCTTTAGGCACTGTAAGATGCTTTGGTTCAAAGTTTGAATGTCTTAACATCAAGACTTTGCAGTTTTAAAACTGCTTGAGGGGCACCTGGGTGGCTCAGTGGGTTAAGCTACCCACTCTTGATTTCGGCTCAGGTCATGAATCTCGCTTGCTGTGTGGAAGCTGCTTCGGATCTTCTGTCTCCCCCTTTCTGGCCGTCTGCCGCTCGTGCACTCTCTCGCTCTGTCTCAAAAATTAATAAACGTTAAAAAAAAAAAACTGCAGGCTTGAAATTTCATTTTTTCATTTATAGTTCCCTTTCTTAAAAGCTGGAAGGCAGTTTCATGCAATCAAGAGGTTGTCATTGCATCCCTGTTGTGTCACTTACTAGCTTTGTGACTGCACAAGCTTTCTCATCTCCCTGAATCAGTTTGCTTAGCTGCAAAATAAAATATCAACCCTGCTGCAGTTGTCATTCAGACTGCAGTTCATATTTACACAGTGATTGTTGAATTGATTATTATTCTGTACAGATATGTTGTAATAATAGAGATGATAATAGAGCTTTCACAGAAACAGTAAGCCTTACTTCCATTGGGTTGCAAATTATTATACTGTAGACGTGGTATTGGTGGACTGCAAAAGTAAGGGATTGAAGGCGTGAAAAGTACTTAATTATCTAGTCTTGGTAATTAAAGTCTCTAACGTGTCTTATGCTTGTGTAATTTAAACTTAAAAAGTACTCCACATGGCTTTTCTCCTTGTGCATCCCATGAGGTATGTAGCATATGTGTTCTTAGTAACTTTAAAAAGTTAGTACCTTCAGAAAGCTTCTGCACAGCGAAGGAAACAGTCAGCAAAACTGAAAGGCAACCGAAGGAATGGGAGAAGATATTTGCAAACGACATATCAGATAAAGGGTTAGTGTCCAAGATCTATAAAGAACTTATCAAACTCAACACCCAAAAAACAAATAATCCAGTGAAGAAATGGGCAAAAGACAGGAATAGGCACTTTTCCGAAGAAGACATCCAGATGGCTAACAGACACATGAAAAAATGCTCCACATCACTCACCATCAGGGAAGTACAAATCGAAACCACACCTGTCAGAATGGCTAACATTAACAACTCAGGCAACAACAGATGTTGGTGAGGATGCGGGGAAAGAGGATCTCTTTTGCATTGTTGGTGGGAATACAAGCTGGTACAGCCACTCTGGAAAACAGTATGGAGGTTCCTCAAAAAACTAAAAATAGAACTACCTACGACCCAGCAATTGCACTACTAGGCATTTATCCAAGGGATACAGGTATTCTTTTTCGAAGGGGCACATGCACCCCCATGTTTATAGCAGCACTATT